TTGTGTCTAAATATAGGATTTGTTGAAGATTTAACGCAGATAAGTTCAGTTTTCCATCTTAAAAATCTAGACATTCTTTTGATCATTATCAAAATGTGAATCAAATACGAAGCCCGTAGAAATTGGGTAACTAATTTGCACGATAATTACAATAAAATTTGCTGCGCAAGTAATTCAATAGCCCTATATCACAGTGTAGAAGTTATCATATACCTGTGTATGAAATTCACAATGGCCGATATGTAAGTAAACAAGATGACTGTAATGTGTTAGTTATATATTCTTATCTTCGTCTATACAATACACAAGAAATAGTTTGGTTGCAATAAAGTAGAATCACGTAACAGAATAGTTGTATAGTTGACAAAAACTGAATCTTACACTGACGCAAATGTCCTATAGAGGCTGCAAGAGGCTTACACTTTTGTTTTATAACTGTTACCTGCAGCCCTTATACAACCTCTTAAATGACTGAAGTGTCCTATTAGGTGTGCCCATTCCGCTTGTATAGCTGTTCTAAGAGGGTTTTGCCAATGTTCTTACAGTATACAATGCTGTTTAAGGAATACTGTATAATCATTCTTGCAACTCTAATATGACTGATAATTGTTAGTTGGGAATACTTTGCAATACTTTCACGCGAACGGGCCCGCAGGGTTATGCTAGTTTCTGTAATATGTCCATAGATATATTATTTAGAGCGCTTATCATATACTCGCAGTAACCGCTGCAACAATTTTTGAGGCCCTGTATTCGAACATCTATCCTAGGATGCAACATCATATGGAGATCGCTAAAGGGAAGTGCGGAAGTATTAAACGGAATCGATAAAACTTAAGATCAACGCTTGGCTCTGGAAAATTTATGGGATTTATATTTTATAATCTTGTGATTCATGGTTACGATTCTGTTTAGTGTCAATACGGTTCGCACCACCTTCTATGATATCCAATAACACCTGTGAATCAAATAACAAAAAACACATAGGGAGCACCGCAGAAACGGACGCAAAATAAAAAGAGAGAAAAGAAAAAATTAACATCCCTTGCCTTGCATTCTCATTTTATATCATCAAATGCACGGATAGTCAGAGAGATGGAAATTAATAGTGAGATTTTGTATGAGGTGTAATTCAGCACTAATGACACTATTCTTCAAGCATAACATACATCAAAAAATAACAAGGTTCTAACAAACATAGGTTTTGAATTGTCCTTTAACTATGGTTCATCGTGTAGTGCGGTGAAGTTAAATTACTTCCCTAATATATTACAAACATTGTTTAATGATGAATTCTTCATACTATACTATATTATCTCTAATATTCAAACCATTGTTTTCCCGAAACGAATGATCTGACAACACATTTAAGTGAAAATAAATATCTTATCTGCAGATCCATGAATTGTTCGAGTTATGTAAAAAATATTTTATTTTTACCTTTTGTATGGTCCAAATATCTACCGGTGTACTCGTAGGTTATGTATGATTTTGAAGGCGAAAGAGAAATAAAAAGCGCACCCATGTGAACCTAGCTTTGGGGTATTTTAATTTATTGACGATTAATTTTTTTGTTTTAGTCTGCTGCCTGCATATCGATCGGTTTGGATCAACTTTTTTCAAAAAATAGCTAACTCCAATCTCGTTGAAAGCGTATGAAAAATACTTGTTCATCTAACGCTAGACCGACGTTTGGATTTTGCGCCTTTTTCAAAAGCTGAAGCGCTAATGCATTTGAACGGTATTTCCAAAGAAATTATAAAATCGTGCACGATTACCATTTTTGTAAATCGGCAAACTTAATCTCTCCATTTCTCAGAAACTAATCGTAGGATTGAATCAGTCGCATCAGAACTTTTGTTCACGAAAAATAGAAATATATCATACTGCCATTTTAGACAAATTGGCTGGGACCCATTTTGAATATGCTTTGTGCTATATCCTTTATAACCAGTAAATTCAATCGACCCCCGGTCTTCTTTTTTGTAGAGATACATTTGAACTACATATTTCAGAGATGTAGGTATACATTATTTGGATTTTTCAACCACAGTATTAGTATTTCTCCAGAACGAGCTTATACATAAATTTGTAGCTGCCTAACTGTGTACACCACATAATGGCTGAAATTAGAAACACGGTAGCTTGAACAAAAGCTGCACACCCGAATATACAGGCATGCATGCACATACATATGAGTACGTGAAGTTGAAATTTGATTATACATGGAAATTTGTATCGAGAATGTTTGTGTGATTATCCGAAAATCGCTTATCCTATCCCATTTTCAATGTTTATAATTTGGTGAGCTACTATGATTACGTTTCAGATAACAGTGTACGTGTGTTGGCAACTTCGTGTTTATTGGTAATTGAACACATCTAGAAGCAGAAGTGACGGACTTTAAGCAATTGACAATTAGTAGATTAAGTCCAAAAAGCTTTGTTCTTGGATGTTTTCTGGAGTAGTAAGTATTTGTTTCTGTAAACAAATACGAGTACAACTTAACGTGCCCACCTAGGAAGATCGTTACTCAAAATTTGGCTAAGATGAGTTGCGTTACCAACGTGAGCAAAATACAACTCTTCAGTTGGCATAAAATTGGAAATCAGTCATTTCAAAGTTGAGGTTTTCAAAAACAAAATGTTACCAAATAAGGCAGCAGCGGTGGCAGTATGTGTCTCCTAGTCAGCCACCGTGCGTTGCGCGGTTTCAAATCTCGTCCCAAGAGAATTTGTCTCTTGGCTATGGACGTTGTGATTGTCCGTAGGAGGTAGATGGTCTGTGACTGTCGAACGCAGAGGTACCACCCGGCGGATCTCTAAGACGGCACCAGAATGTGTGCATGCTGAATACAGACGTGTTCCCTCGCTAGAGTCCGTGTGGCGTCTCCGATTTCCCCTGTAGCCCCACGGTACCCAATGGTGTTTAGGCGCTTGGCCTTCATGATGGTTCAAGTATAAAAAAATAATAAAATCATAAGTCAAATTTCCTTATGTAATAGTATCGTATGTAGAGGAAGAGATTATATTAAAATAATTTTACTCAAATTAAATCATAACTTGGTATCGTACTAAAGATTCTGAACGTTTATTTGTTGTTCGTACGTTTCCTCATCTTCAATCTCTGTAATAGTTTGTTTCCCTTACTATGTCAGTGTGTCACGATTTTGCTGCATACACATACTTCAGGTGCGATATTGTCTACGAAATGTCTAGAGTAACCATTGAACTGTATTCAAAACTAAATGGAATACATAAATAATATTTGAATGATTTGTGCCAATATACAAATTCTTACATAGTCGAATTTCGTATAACTGAAACAGCCATATCATTTATTTGCACCCATATAAAATGTAATAAAAGTCCTACAGAAATCAATAATAAATTGAAAAATAAATATCTGTATTTTGCGTTCATCGTCGTGATATTAGAACACGCATTAATAATTTATTATAGCAAATGTTGTACCAAACAACTGACGAAAACAAAATACCAGGAATTTTTTGTTTTTTCGTAATGATAAGGACGTGTAAATAAGGTTTAATCTGTATCGTGGGTGATCTGAATGAAGAACGGTCGATTTTTTAAAAGTATTTAGCGAGTTTATTTTTTTTGTTATCTATTAATAAAAATGGTACATGTGTACACTAATGAGGAGTTAGTGGACATTGTTTTAGCGTACGGAGAAGCAGGGCAAATTTCGCGAGCGGCTCCTCGTTTGTATGCACACCGATTTCCGAATAGACACATACCACATCACGAAACATTTAGTTCAATTATTTTACGTGCACGTGCTAGTGGAGATTTGCGCCCCAGACGTGGAGTGGATGGGGGTCGGGTTCGCCCACAACACGTTTCGAATGCCGAACACAAAATTTTGGATATTGTGGAAGAAAATCCGGGAATAATCACAAGCCCAACAGGTCCCAGAAGTGTCACATGCATCAGCGTAGCGCATATTATATGAGGCCCAACTGTACCCTTATCACCACAGTCCATGTGTTGCTCCTACAGACTATCCCGTAAGAGTAAGATTTTGGATTAGTCGCGCCCAAGCTTGCATTGCAGTCAATGGAAACAATTTTGAACAGCTTTTGTAAGTAAGTGAACTGTTAAACTGTATTATTTTATTATCTCGATTTCTGTAGGACTTTTATTATATTTTTCCTCCTCTCCCGGGTAATATAGGCCTTTGAGCCATAGGGGGTATATATAACTACATATAACTCCATTGTCTGACCGAATCAAACCACATATATGTTTACTGTGTGACGTTTAGACCACCACGGTGGCCCAAGTGCAATAAACAGAAATTAAAACATATATGTGGTTTGGTTCGGCCAGACAATTGAGGCCAGTAGTAAGCTATACAAGATGATTCAAAAAACAATAGCAATGTTTCTAATGCAAGAAGGGCATCAAGAAATAACATAGAAAGCATAAACATAATATGTCCTGAAATGTCCCATTACCAAGATACACACTGGATAATGACATAAGTGAATATTGTAAATATCACTGTGGCGAAATGGCACTACTCTCCTGTAGGCCTTATCACGTTTTTCGCAGGTTACAGTATAATTATAGGAATTACTTTCATATATCCATCTTCGTCACATATACATATGCAATGGCATCTATATGCATGTCCGTTATATGCATGTCCGTTTGTTTGTGTAAACTGAAAGACACAAGTTTTTTAGTTCCACCGCATTAAAATGTCCTCGTGAACGTATGAGTCTTCCACATTTCCACCTTACTACTTACTTACACTCATAACAAGTTTACAACTGTGCTGACCGGACTATTATCTAAACTCCATCCTAGCTGTGCACTGACTGACATTTATTCCCCCACCGACCAGTCGAGAAACATTCGAGCTCTTTTGAGAACTTCCATGGAAGTAGTCTAGATGGGCGCAAATTCATTTTCAGACGTGCCAAATACTCGCTATGGTGTCCGCATACGGTTCAGAACGCAAACACGCTTCATAAGGCTTGTCCGTAAAATAAGTTCCACGGGCTGCCGCTGGCGCTAGGATCGTTTCTATGCACAGCCAGGCAACAGAGGCAGATTGTTTGGTTCCCCCACTCCAATCCCTCACCAAGCCAGCCTCGCTGCAACGTTTAGTCTTGGCTCAGCAGCCGTCAGCGATGGAGCTTCCTCTTGCGTCTCCCGCCAGCTGCGAGTTGCGGTCTGTTATTCGTTTCCTGGCCGCTAAGAAGAAATCGGCGAAGGAAATTCACGAAGAACTTTGTCAAGTGTATGGAGAAGACTGTATGAGCTGCGGGATGGTGCGCAGATGGGTCAGGGACTTTAAAAATGGCCGAACAGACGTCCACGACGAAGCCCGTGCAGGGCGGCTATCGGTTTCCGACGAAACAATTGCCAAAGTCGAAGCGGCAATGCTTGAAGATCGACGGATTACAGTTCGGGAGCTGTGCACAAAGATTCCGGAGGTCAGCAAAACCACAATTGACAAGATTTTGACTGAACATTTATGCTATTCAAAGGTCTGCGCAAGATGGGTACCAAGAATGCTCACTGCAGACCACCGGCGGCAGCGGGTTGAAGCGGCCCAAGAATTTATCGCTTTTCACGGAACAACCGAAGAGGAATTTCTGGACTCTATTGTTACTGGTGACGAGACCTGGGTACACTACACCACACCGGAAACAAAGGAACAATCGAAGCAGTGGAAGCACTCTTCTTCACCAAGAGCAAAGAAGTTCAAACAAATCCTGTCTGCTGGGAAAATCATGGCTAGCGTTTTTTCTGATCGAAAGGGCGTATTGTTGTGCGAGTTTATGCCTCGCAGGACAACAATCAATGCTGACCGGTACTGTGAGACCTTGAAAAAACTTAGACGTGCCATTCAGAACAAGAGAAGAGGAATGCTGACGAAAGGAGTGCGTTTTCACCATGACAACGCCCGACCGCACACCGCCAATCGAACCACAGCCCTCATCGAATGATTTGAATGGAAAATGGTGTCTCACCCACCCTACAGCCCAGACGTAGCACCAAGTGACTTCCATCTCTTCCCTGAGTTGAAGAAAAACCTTGGCGGAACCCAATTCCAGACAGATGAAGAGGTGCAAAACGCGGTTGTTAGTTTTCTACACGGACAGGCGGCAGAGTTCTATGACTCTGGTTTGAAGAAGTGGGTGCCTCGAATGCAGAGATGCATAGAACGCAACGGCGATTATGTAGAAAAATAAAAGAAAGACTGAACTTTCCAAAAATGTATTTTCTTTGCAATTAAACCAATTTTTTGATATGAAAAAAATTTGTGGAACTTATTTTACGGACACGCCTCACTTGGACACTTAACTCTGGTTGCCTAACATCGACATTGCCAAGCCGCCTCACGCCGCCAAAGGTCAGAACTTAACAAGGGCATTCCAGTATCACACCTTTCTTATCGAGGGAGTATGATTTGCTTTTACCCATGCTGATATTTGATATAAAACATGGTAGTGCCTGATGATATAACTACAGTGCGCACAGTCTGTATTCGAGGCATTTTTAGGAAGAGTGAAAACAGCTATGCTCTATCACACAATTCATGTATGTGCGTGTTCGTGTGCGTTTGCGTGTGCGTGTGTGTGTGTGTGTGTGTGTGTGTGTGTGGGCGCGCGCGCGCAATTCGGAGTAGCAGCAGCGTTACAGAGCAGTTGTGCAGTGTACAATTTCTGTTAGGGAAGTTAAGCTACGCACATGTTATCATTATATATACTGTTTAACTATTCGTATGGCATTGTGACGTAACCGTGAAATGCAGTGCAATTTTCAATGTCAAACTTGACTAATTTCACCATGTTTCCAAAATAGGAGGGATTGAAGCAGGTAGAATAGGTTAATAAACGAATGAAGTATTTATAAGCATTTTACCTCAAATATTCAAGCTTTCCCCAAAAACGACAGTCTGACAGAGGTTTCCTAAGGCGTGCGATTCATATAAATTTGATAACATAACTTATTCAAAAATGCAAGGTAGAGTCCATGGCGTAGAAAATTTCTCTTTAGCAGGAAACAAAGATTTTGCAATTGCTGTGCCACAGCTGTAGCTTGAGCAATTAAAAGTTTCGTATGTATTGATCATAGTATTGTAACTCCATGCACAACATGTCAATACAATACCTCATTTCGCTCAGAAGATTTTTTTCCGGCTTAAAGACATATTTTAGGAGCCATGTTTATATAAACGTGTAATCTTGTCATCTTTGGAACAACCGTAGACGTATTGAAACTGAATTCTGAATCATCCGGTACAAGACTACAAAGTCTATCATGTAGGCACCCTTGTTTTACTACTACTCGTCGTTGCTTCTCAAGGCGGTCCGGAGGACCTTAGCCTTTAGGTCATAGTCACTGTAATTTCAGTGTCTGTCGTCAGTCTGTCAGGTCTGGTGGCCTAGAAACCAGACAAGTTGTAGGTGAAAGGGGAGAGAGGGAGAAAGAAAGGAAGGAAGTAGAAGCGAGACGAGAAAGAAAAGGAATTGTTTTATGTAAATATTTGAGGTGTGATAGATCTAAGAACTGTTACATTGTACTATATAATTCTTTTTGACTTGTCCTGAACTGAATTTTGGATCTTTGGTTTTTAAAAACTATAATTTTTAAAGGTCCAAACATGAATTTAATTTTTGTTCACAGTGCGAGTCGCGGCCTGGAATATTTGCGTATCTCCTCGACTGTGTAACCCACTGCTTCATGCAACAAAGGGTTGCTGTGCGATTCCGCTTGCTGGTAGCGCCGTTGTGCCATACCTATGATGTAATCCCTAAGGTAGGGGATGTCAAGATCTCTATGGATGGTATCGTTTGATACATATCATGGGGCATTAGTTATTGTTCTGAGAGTTCTACTCTGCAGAACTTGTAGTTTACGCATATGTGACTTAGCTAAAAAGCACCAAACCGCGCATGCGTAGGTTATTGCAGGTCTGATGGTGGTTTTGTATATCCAAATCTTATTGACCAAACTCAATTTTGATGTTCTACATAAAAGAGGATACAATTGCCGAAATGTAATTTGGAATTTAATTTTCAGTTGTTCAATGTGTGACTGCCAAGTCATACCCTTGTCAAGTGTAAGACCAAAGTGTTTGGCTATGTTAGCCGATGGTGTCGAAACATCATCCACAGTAATCTCTGACGGGGCACCACGGCGCTTTTTTTGTAAAATAGATAGCATGTGTCTTTGAAAAATTGATTTTGATTAGCCACCGATTCGCCCATTCTAAAACCTCGTCCACCGCTTCTTGCAGCCTGTCATGGACTATGTTACTAGAACATGACTGGGCTAATAATGCGGTGTCATCGGCATAGAGATAGACTTCACAGTCGCTGGGACGGGGGACGTCGTGAATGAAAATCGAGTCTAAAAGTGGTCTTAAGACCCTGCGGAACTCCGGCCCGAACGCGCCGGGTTGTAGAAAATATACTGTTAATTTTGATCCTAAATTTCCTTCCTTCTAGGCAGGATTTGAGTAGTTTTAATAGCCAAAAAGGGAAACCGTTTGGAATAAGTTTATAGAGGAGGCCTGCGTGCCACACCTTGTCAAAGGCTTTTGCGACATCCAGACTCTTGTTTTAATAAAGGATACAAATTCTAACAGACGTATCAAGAGCGAGTTTTGTTCAACAAAAACCAACATCTAGTTGGCATTGTTATCATTTAGGTCTCGATAAATCTTTCTGCGGCCAGCGCAGCGTCTCGAGATGAAGGTAAAGAATCAAATCGGGATTCTTTACATACATGATCATATAAGCGTAGATGTTTCATCATATCAACGTCTGAATTTTATATTTCCATAGTGTTCATATCAACGCAAGTTCCTGTGAAGTTTTAACGAAGTCTACCGTTTAATTCTCAAGATAATTCATACAATGTTCACATAGGCTCTTATAAGAAACACAAATTTTCTAGTATTATTTCAATTTTCGTCAGAAACAAATTTAAAAACCTGAAGCTTGAATAGTACTGAAATGTTACTGGATTTTCGGAATACCTAGCAGCGAAGTTGATAACTCCACACTTTTTATCGTATTCGGGTGCTCGGTATAGAAACTTGATGCTACTACTAGTAGTATTGGTTCTCCGGCCTATAGTTCGGAGGAACTTCTACCTAGAAATGACACCCAGATAACACTGAGACAAAAATAGTTTTTTAAGGACTGTAATAGTTTATCTAGGGTAAATCGACGAGAGTTGGCGCATCAGGTGAGATGACGCAGAAGTGGTTTTTGTCGTCTCGTTAAAGTTAAACACACGTTCGTTTTTTAAGTGGGTGATTTTTTTTGGAATGTCACTTTAAGATACTCCGAAAATACTTTTATGGTGTGGAATAAGACAGTGTACAGGTAAGTTTAGTCGCATTTACATCAGGTTTTTGATTATTTTATAAGGGTTTAGTGATGTTTAATTATTCCTAACCTCAATTAATCACGATATTGCAAACCAGTTTTTTTAAACATGCGTCATCTCTCCTTATGTAGTAGGGCCAGTTGACGTAATTGCTGATGAGGTTAGTCAAAGCACTCTTAAAAATATTTGTTGGTCAATAACCAACAACAAACTTCACTGGTACGTTTCTTTATGCATTATGAATGAATTTTAAAATAAAGTTAGACATCACTTGTTCCCTTATCCTCTCTTGACGAAGTGAAGTTATATTTTTCACATGCCTACACAATGCAAAAGAAAGGGAAGCGTTTCTTAGGGAAAATGGTCAAAAAAACATATATTTTTGTATAAATAGATACTTTGTTAGTTCCTACTTTGGTTTCAAATTTGTTTAGAGTTTTTTTAATTTTGTTTTCAAGTTTGAATGACTTTTTACTTTTTAAATTCGTTTTTCTGTAACACAGATTTGTTTTGCAATAAATGCGTTAATATAACGACGTGATGGTTTTTTAAAAAGATTTAAGCACATTTCACAAATTAAGTTTTGGAAGTGTGATTCAAAAAAAGAATGTGTCAACTCACCTCTATGATTTGGTTTGATCTTAGTATATTTATGCGCTCCAAATCCCGGTACACATTACGAATTTTTCAGGCATCATAGACTTACCCGTACATTTGTCTTTAAACCTTAGAATGATAGCGAAATCTTCTCGACCCGCGAACTCGTGCCTACAAAGGCGAACCGCCTGGCGAAGCAGTCCGGCTTATACACGTATTCGTATTGAAGCCCAAAAAACATACGGAGCATGAAAAACCGAAAGATAAGTTGCTGCAGAGATGCTACTCAAATTTGGAAAGGGACAAGTTGCCACATGGTCGATAACTACCAGTAGGGT